AGATATATTATTGACCTTTTGTTTCATAAACAGCAAAATGCACTTTCCAAAGTGAATATTGCTTAGGAGATACCTGTAAAGCTAAGGTACAGAAACATCTTCACAGAATCGCAGAATGGTTCTGCTTGGAAGGGACCTCTGGAGATCTAGTCCAATCCCCCTGCTCACACCAGATCTCCTAGAGTATGTTGCACAAGACCCTGTCCAGATACTTCTTATATATATTAAAGGATAGAGACTCCACAACCTCTCTGAGCAAGCTGTTCCAGTGTTCTCTGTCACTATCACAGTACTAAAGATTTCATTATATTCAGATGGAACTACCTGTGTTTCAGTCTTGGCCTGTATCTCTCACCATATCACCGGGCACTGCGGAAAAGAGTCTGGCCTCACCCTGTTTACACTTTCCATTCAGATATTTAGACATTAGAAAATAAGAGTAATCCTGAAAAAATATTGAGAAATGTGGCACTCGCAAACAGTGTACAAGTAATAAATACCATGAAAGTTCTAATGTCCTGCTCAAGAAAAGGCCTTCCTAAGCCAATAAATGACTAATATTCGGCCTTCATCTTCATCAGCGCAAGGTATAACACAAGCATTTCATCCACTCTCACTTCCTTATGCACGCATGCATGTCCATGTGGGCTGATCTCATCCTTGAGAAACCTGACTTTTTTAGCCCGCTGGAGCCCAAGGCCTCTGGCCACTGACCTGTTCGACCTGGTCTTAATTACCTCCTTCGTGGATAATTTGGGACAATACTGAAAAACAGTTACGAATGGAAGTAACACATTTGCTTCCCTATTAAACAATCTTTGGTCTCTTTATATAGGCGAACCTGTCATAAGCCTTTCTCAAATCCACTATGCCCTCCAAATATAGATGGTCCTGAACACGAGCAGCCAGGATATGGTATTTGGATATAGACACCCTCTGTGTTTGCAGAGTGCAGGGTTTCAAGCCATACTTCAAGAATACTTCAATGGCTGAAAGATCTGAGTTTGCCCCACTTCTTCCACAGTACATGCCATTTTCAGTCAGAAATGGCCTAACCACATAAAACGGAAACTTTTTTTTTAATATAGCAGAATGTGAGTTACAAGTCACCTTATAAAGCACAGAAGATGGGAAAATCCTTTCAAATTCAGCTTTTGACCAATCCGGGCTCTTTAAGAGAGGACCCTCTGTGAAACTTGCAAAATCTAAACTATCCCTCTTTCATGTATCACAGAATCATAGAATCATTAAGGTTGGAAAGGACCTCTAGAGATCATCCAGTCCAACCCCCCTGCACACGCAGGGTCACCTAGAGCACGTGGCACAGGACTGCGTCCAAGCGGCGTTTGAAGATCTCCAGAGAAGGAGACTCCACAACCTCTCTGGGCAGCCTGTTCCAGTGCTCTGTCACCCTCTCTGTCAAGAAATTTTTCTTTAAGTTCCTGTGGAACTTCTGATGCTTCAGTTTCCGGCCATTACCTCTAGTTCTGTCGGTGGCCACCAATGAAAAGAGGCAGGCCCCATCCCCTTCCCTCCCTCGTTTGAGATATTTATATACACTGATCAGGTCCCCTCTCAGCCTTCTGTTCTCCAGGCTGAACAGGCCCAGCTCCCTCAGTCTCTCCTCATAGGGCAGATGTTCCAAGCCCCGATCATTCTCGTAGCCCTGTGGTGGACTCTCTCAAGCAACTCCACATCCCTCTTGCACTGGAGGGCCCAGAACTGGACACAATACTCCAGATGTAGCCTCACCAGGACTGAGTAGAGGGGCAGGATCACTTCCCTCGACCTGCTGGAGACACTCTCCTTAATGCACCCCAGCAAACTTGCTGAGGGAGCACTCTGTGCCTTCATCCAGGTCATTGATGAATAAACTGAACAGGACTGGACCAAGGACTGACCCCTGGGGAACACCGCTAACTACAGACTTCCAACTAGACTCTGCATCTCTGATCAGAACCCTCTGGGCTCTGCCATCCAGTCAGTTGTTAATCCAGCTCAGAGTCCACTCATCTAACCCACACTTTCAGAGCTTGCTCAGGAGGATGCTGTGAGGGACAGTGTGAAAAGCCTTGCTGAAATCCAGATATATAACATCCACTGTTTTTCCCTCATCTACCCAGCTGGTCATTCCATCATAGAAGACTATCGGGTTAGTCAAGCATGACTTCCCCTCGGTGAATCCATGCTGACTACTCCTGAACACCTTCTTATCCTCCACATGTTTGGAGACAACAGCCAGGATGACCTGCTCCATGACTTTTCCAGGTATGGAGGTGAGGCTGACTGGCTGGGAGGTGCCTGTGTCCTCCTTCTTGCCTTTTTTGAAGACTGGCGTGACATCGGCTTTCTTCCAGTCTTTTGGCACCTCCCCCATTCTCCAGGACCTTTCAAAGATGATGGAGAACGGCTTAGCTATGACATCCACGAGCTCCCACAGCACTCTTAGGTGCATCCCATCAGGGCCCATGGATGTAGTTGTATTTATTTTACTATTTTCATCATGCCTCAGTGAGCTGATCCCACTATTCTGTTTCTGCAGAGATGAGTCTGTTTCATCACTGCTGCTTATCTGACTTCACATATTATATGAGACACAGGCAATGCTCTCAGCAGTAGTCATCATTAAAGCAGTTCTCACAAAAATGGAATGTTGCATGAAGATAATGCATGCTAGCATGATTGCTATCTTCAAAATTCTACAACATAAAAGATAAATTTTATTCTTGACTGGTATAATAAACAATTTTTACAAAAAAAAACCCATAATACTATATGTGATTAAAATAATCACTGTATGTATAAGTGATTTTTAAAGTCCAGAAGGATTTACAGCCTCCAAAGTTCATAAAGACTCCCTAGTCATGAAAAAATGCAAATAATAAGTAACAGAAAGAAAGATCTAAACACAGAAAAGATAATACAATTTCATTCTTACTGTGTGTAAGGATTTTTAACAGATATTTAATGAACCTACCAAAATTTCTCATAGGTTCACTGTGCATCAAATAACCCTAAATTATCTAATTCCTTTCAAATAGTCATGTCCAACTGTTCATTTACCCACCTCTAAGAAACGAAATCTATTTTGTAGACCTACTACATCCTTTACCATAAATAAACTGTTAATACTGATTGTGATAACAATCAGTAAAAATAATATGCAGCTAGAAGCTATTAGCAAAACACAAGGTATTATGTAATGATTCACTCAATTTGAAAACAATTTCAAAAAGGAAATTAAAGAAAAAACAATAATGCATTAAATCATTCAAAAGAAAAAAAGTAAGAGAATGTACAGATTAATCTTGGGAAATTTTAGTTAAACACTTTTACATTAATAGAATATTTTAAAAAACGTATTTGGGCGAATTATTAGTGATGTTGCTTCCACACTGAGTCAACTGGAAAATTAGACAGGAGTGAGTTACGTTTGGACATACTCTCCTTATCAGCTTTATTTTTTTTTTCTTTTTGCTAATCACAAAAACAGTTTGATTGAAAAGTACCTCAGAAGATCATGTGGTCCAACACCCACAATAGTGGTGCAGTTAATGCATATACTTCCTTCTTTATACTTGGCTTTTTGGGTTAGTATCTTCATGCCACTCATGGATTCATCCAGGATGGTATATGGGCTTAATGTGCCTTGTCTTTTATTTTAACTGCAACTCATGTTTCTTGGATAAAACATTACATTCTTTTGAGAAGAGGCTTTCAAATATGAGCTAAACTGTGGACTCCATAAAATTATTGATGCACTCATGACCCCACCAACTGAAACAGATTCATAAGAAAAACTACATACTATGTACAATATAATGCATGTTACTACTTGATATGCAAGCTTACAGTGGTATTTGATTAAAAGTACTAAGTCCTAAAAGAGTAGTAGGTATCTTTCCTTGATTTGTATTTAATTGCCTGAGTTACATTCCTGGATGCTTATACATCTCCTTTTAATTATATATTTATTATCTTTGTATGCTTTATTACGTTCTGTATTAGAAGCTTATTATTGTCCCATCTACAGTTGATATAAAAATATCTATTCTCTTCTTCACTGCAGAAACAATAAAGTTGTAAACAATGGAAACACACATACACAAAATTACATCAAAATATATAAACACAAGTACATGATGTAAGAAATCTGAAGAACTCTTTTTAATAGGATATAGCCAGTACACTGATATATACATTATATATCAGCTGGAAATAAAGTTGCATGTTTGAGTATGTGTACCTATTAAAGAAATGGGAACCTATTAAAGAACATGCAGAGAAGATAAACAAGTACAGTCTGAGATCTAGGAAAACGTGGTCCTGAATATGGAGCCAAGTATGATCAAAAATGCGTAAACTCCACTACACAAATCAGGAAGAGAGTCTGATAACTTAATAAGATGATGCCAAAAACCTGAGTCTTTTAGGAGCTCTGAGTCTTTTAAGTAGCACCAAATGCGCTGAATATCTTTATGTAATATTCTGTCTTTTACTGCAGGAAAGATTATAAAAATTGAGAGATTTATTCCAGAGAAGTGCAGAAACATATAGATTTATCATAGAAAAAGAATAAGTCTTCAAATATTTAAAGGGTACCTTAGTGAAGAAAAGAACAAACCATGTCCATGTCCACCACAGAAATATGTCTTTGTTTTTGATCAGCTAACCTTTTAATTCACCTTACAAGATACTGCCTTCAAGTGGTGCATTTTTCCCATCTATGTGCAGTAATTCACTGAATTTACCTTTTATTTTTCACAGCAGCTCTACACATTTTCAAGATCATTCCAAGGTCTAACATTGTCCTGAAAATGAGGTTCTTTTTGTGAATACATGTTGCACCTTTAAAGAAAGTCTTAAAGATAGTGTGATGCTGAAGGAACAATCCATAAACGTATTTTATTTTTTTAAAGAATGTTTAAAGAACATTTAATTCCTCAAAAAGTGATGTATTTTACAGTACTATACAATTAAACAATATAAACATATTTTACCTGCTTGGTCTTTAAATATTTTTGATATGACGACAGGCACTTTGTGCTCAGCACCACCCTGCAAAAGATGTGTATTATGCATGAGATTTCACTTCTGACTAGAGTGAAGCATTTATAATGAAAATTAAAGGGGGAAAAAAAAAAGCAAGAAGTTATCCATACCTTTATGCTTAAGCCCAAGCCACCAACTGGTTGTCTACGAAGTGTAACAGTTCTGTGCTTTAAAAAATCGCAGAAAAATAAATTTAGGTGAAAATACAATATCTGAACAAGCAAATGAAATGTCTTTTTTATTTGTTTGTTTTTTACTTTAAAAATTTACTTCTCAAGGATAGCCTAGTCTGGGTGATCAAGTTCAGTTCTGAATTATGATTCAAGAGGCACTCATTTCCTTACCATAAGGTCATTCACACTGAGATCAGATCTCCTCTATATTCTGAATTCTGTACAGAGATTTTTAATGATTTTTTTTCTATTGCTGAAGTGATATACTTCCTAGATAGATTTTTTACATGATTTTGCTTTGTTTTCCTGAGAATACTATATGAAGAGATTTGAAAGGCCTAAATTATTTTAGACTTATTTTCTTTAGTTGCTCATTTTTCAGGTGCAAATACCTATGTTTTCTAATCCATACCTCCATATCTTCTGGCCTATGTGAATTTTCTTGCAAGATATGCTAAAAAACTTATTATGACAATCTGTTCTCAGAATTATTTTATTGTATTTTCTAGTGAAATGCATAAACATTTATCAATATTTTTCTATAATAACCTATCATATGTTTAATACCATATTGAATATGACACTTCATTCATGTGCACCTATCAGTGCCTGACACCATAACAACAGAACTTAACTTCATCTGTTGACCATTATAGAGCTGAGAAGGACTTTTTTTAGCAATATGCTGAACAAAACTGCATATAACATTACCTCTCAGCCTCTAAAACTGTAACTACAGATCATATCTTATTCTGCATATCAGAAATCCTACATGAGATTATATGTATTATATGTACTTATACTCTTACATGTAAATTTCAAACTGAGTATTTTATGATTCAGATAAATGTGGATTTTGATCTTCAATGGTTAAGCCCATACTCATTTTATACTTTAACAAGTTATTTTTTCTCGCACTGAAGTTAGCAGAATGATGATGATACTGACTTGGGGTAAAGGGCAAAAGAGTAAGTCATACATTTCCTTTTGTATTTTAAGAGGATAAAAAATAAAGTATGTAGTTAAAACAAGCTAAAAATACTTCCTTGCATTTTTAAAATTTATTTTTTCTGTTCCCATGAACATTATACTACTCCAGTCTGTGCTAAAAATGAAAATTATTATATCATGATGTAAGATAACAGATTTATAAAGGTGTGTATGATTCAATCACAGACCATATAATTCAGTTTTAGTGAAGTATGTGCTGATTCATATTATTTCACTCTTTCTTCATTTTGAATTGAATCAAAACTTTTAATCAAAATCATCATGTGTACTGAGAAACTACAGACCCAATCTGAGATTATATGGATCTCTATGTTTAAAATCTGTGGTCATTCCCAAGTGCCATTTTTTCTATTACATAATAAAAAGCTAGACAGTGTCATAATAAAGATCTTTTAAGCAAACTCATGTCAACAGTATGCATAAATATGAGACAGTACTGCTATTATGTAATCATATATCATTCTCTATGACCATGACTAACAGTTATGCAAGGGCAAATACTGCCTCTGATTTTGACTGAAAGTAAGATTTTTGTTGTTGATTTTCAATTTTCCAAAACCTGAAAAGTATATGTAATTCCAGAAGAATAGGAGAAAGCTAAAACTTGATCAATACTTAAAACATATAAATAGCATATAAGTCTTCATTATATTATAGAGGTGTAAAGCTCAGATGATCATAAATCTGCCAACTAACCATCCGTTCCATTTTAAAATAACAGTCAATTCATTATAAGTTCATTAAAAAAGTTCATAAAAATTTAAAGGAGACTAATCTGTGATTCTGTGCTTTTGTGAATATTATGGAAAACAGAACTTTCAAAGTTAAATTAATATTTGTTATTAAATTTCCAGACTTTATGAAAAACCTTCATAAGGTTCTCATCTGATATCACACAAGTGTTTAATGAACAAAAAAAAACAAAAACTGTATTTAAAATGGCTTGCTAATAAATCCAAATCAAAAATTAATGAAGGTAAAGTTTACATTAAGTGGATATGCTTCTGGTAGGGCAGTGACAGTCCCTGGATTATTTAAAGAGTTGAAAAAATAGTGATCTGAAAGAAAAACTAAATTAATTGCAATAATGATTGTAGATAATACAAAGTGAGAAGTCATGATGAACAGGACGGATAGACTTTGATGACTGATCAAAATCTGGATAGATTTTAGATGATTTGTTAAATTAGAAGTAAATTGCAAAACATACAGACTAGAGGTAATGGCCGGAAACTGAAACACCGAAAGTTCCACAGGAACTTAAGGAAAAATTTCTTGCCAGTGAGGGAGACAGAGCACTGGAACAGGCTGCCCAGAGAGGTTGTGGAGTCTCCTTCTCTGGAGATCTTCAAAACCCGCTTGGATGCAGTCCTGTGCCACGTGCTCTAGGTTACCCTGCATGTGCAGGGGGGTTGGACTAGATTATCTCTAGAGGTCCTTTCCAACCTTAAGGATTCTACTATTCCATGATATTTTAATACTAGCAAATAAAAGATAAACTCTTCTCGCAACAAGGCAATCATCTCCCATTAATAATTAGAGCACACTGTTATCTAGAAAAAAAAAAAAAAAGAGTGGTTTTGCAAATGAACATGAGTTCCACTGAAAATGAGAAAAATTACAGCCAAAAGTACTAGTACTACATTATCAGGAGATTACTATGTAGGATTAGGGACTATAAATTAATTCTGTAGCTGGCAATGGTGCACACATTTGAAAGAATACAGCAAGTTCTGGTAAGCTCATTTTGAAAATGATACACTTGTATTGGGCAGGCAGCAAACAACACCAAACGGCTTGAGAGATTTGTCTTGTAGTGCAACCGATACCATGACCTAACCTATTTTGCTTTTTAAAGCATATTTCATGGATGATCACAGGCAGGCACATTTTTAAGCAATCTCCTCGGCAGAACAGTAAATCTTATGAACCAACAGTGCAAATTTCAGTGACATGAAGTCGAAAATGGACACATTCAGACTACAGACACAATACACCATTTAAACCCTCCTACTAGGATAAACTATAATTGGATAGTGAACATAGTGAACATTTTTTAAACAATAACATGGCATTTAGACCTTAAAATGATTTTTTTTATTTAAATCATGATCTAAGTATTTAATATTTGTACGAATCTGTTAAAGTAAGATATGAAGCCAGAATTCATGCAAGATGATGAGAGTTATGCAATTTACTCTGCTAGTGTCATATGCCGGAGTATCTTCCCTGTGGAAGGCCAGCATATATACGTGGTTTATTGAGAAGACGTCAAGGAACAGCATATAGTAGGATCCACAAGTCTAGTCTTGTGACAGAATGCAACAGGTTGGTGGTGTGGGAAGTAATGCCACTGGTAGTTCTCCTGGTCAAGGTGGTCATGGATCTTCTTGCGGTGAGAACCTTCTTCTTAAAGCTGAGATCCTTGACAGTTGAAATAGCGGTAGATGACCATCGGGTAAATAGGTTTTTTACTCCAGGTAAAGTCTGATTAGTCAAGTGTTAAGGTGATATCTCACAGGAATCTTGTTCAACCCAGGAAAATAATAATAATAACAATAATAAATGGAAGGAGTTTGTAAGTTTGATGTTCATGGATACCAACAACATGGGAGAGTGCAGGAAATAAGTCCTAGAGACAAAAAACTAGGCTGCAAGGAAGGAAGCTGGAGAACTGTACTTCTGTAAAATTATCCAGAACACTTCCAGTACACTCCACAGGACAGAGGAGACAGAAAAGGCTTTAATGCATTCCTGAAAAGACAACTCAAATAATATGGATTCAGTTCATCTGAAACTGAAGGAATTTTTGAAATATAGGGAGCTTGTTCAGGAGCCAAATTTCATCCAGACTGCTGGTACTTAAAATTCAGGAAGGCTGTAAGTGATTTTTAAACCGTAGGTGTGGGAAAAAAATAAAGAACATTATTGTGGATTATATTTGTATTCTGTAGAAAAAAAAAAAAGAATTTCTGTAGAGAAATTCTATATCCTTAAGTAAAGAGTTTTTGGACAGATAGAAAATGACTGTAATGACAGGATGAAAACTGTATATATATGCACTTGTAAAGGAAAGGTAAAATAGGCTGCATAAAAGCATAGTAAGTGCTCTGTGAGAAAAAAAGAACTTAACTCTCTCTCTCTCTCTCAAAAAAAAAAAACACTAATAAACCAACTACTTCATCAAATAAAACTGAATCTCTTTGGATTCCAAATCAAATAAGAGCCAGACTCTCTACGACGATGATAACAGTCAACTAGGTTGACAACATTAACCGAAACATGTGAAGAGGTGAGGAAAATGAAAAAATATAATATTGAAGACAGATTTAAATTAACCTCATGTAGAAACAAATATCACCCTAGGATACAATGCAGTCAATAAAACACAGGTATCTACTGGTGACTGCTTCGCTGAGCAACTGCTTACAGAACTCGCAAGATTAGATGCAATACTTGCTCTACTCTCGCGTACCATGAAGGATCTAGCTAATTTTTTTACAGCTGAAAAGTTTCTCTGTAGCAGCAGCCACTATGTGCTTTAGATTTAACATCTGTGAGAGCAGCAAGTCCAAAAATTCCACTGCAATTACGATCCCAAAAGAGGAATTATGCAAAAGTAAGGAAGTTTGCTAAAAAGGAACACAAAGGATAAAGTTAAGGATATTGTATCTTCACAGAAAATGTGAAGACTACTTAAGGGTAATGAAAGCTATATAAGGTTATCATGCTGGAAACACATTAAAGTTTAATGTTGTACGATGAAAATTTGGTCACAATTTAAACAAAAGAATATAAAATAAGATGTTCATTTTTTCCCCATAAATTTCTGAACAAGGAATCTCGTAGAGGGAAGTGTATATACACTGACTACAAAAGCCAAATTAGAACTATATATTTTTTAATATTACAGAATAATGCAATTGGCAAGATTAAGATTATTCCTTACTTTTTTTATATAGCACTATAAACCATATAATAAT